AAACTCATAGTGACCATACCAAGTTCAAAAGTCGTCTTTAGAATGTCACCTTCCTTTACCCTTAATTGGTGATAACCCGACCGAAGTTCAATCTTGGAGAAGAAACTCACACCTTGAAGTTAATCAAACAAATCATCAATCCTTGGAGTAGGATACTTATTCGTTATTGTGACCTTATTCAATTGCCAATAGTCAATGCACATTCAGAGGGAACCATCCTTATTTTGAACAAACAATGCCGTAGCACCCCATGGAGAGATACTTAATCTAATGAAACCCATAGCCAATAAGTCTTTCAGTTGTCCGTTAATTCCTTAAACTCTGCCGGAGCCATACAGTAAGGAGGAATAAAGATAGGCTGCATATCTAGGAGTAGGTTAATACCGAAGTCTATTTCCATTTTGGGTGGAATACCAAGAAGCTCATCGGGAAACATTTCTGAAAACTTATTTACAATCGGAACTGACTTAGGAGTAGGGGTTTCAAAATCCGTATCCTTAATCCGAACAAAATGATAAATGCAACCCTTAGAAATCATTTTCCTTGCCTTTAGGAAAGATATGAACTAGCCCAGAGGAGCAGAATTTCCCCCTTTCCATTCTAAGATAGGTTTGTTCGGAACTTGGACTGTGACCAATCGGGTTCTACAATCTATGGAAGCATAACAAGAATGAAGTCAATCCATCCCAAGAATACCATCAAAATTTAGAATATCAAGCTCTACGAGATCAACATGAGTGAATCTATGGGAAATAGAAACACGACAATTTCTATAAACTCTTTTAGCAACAATGGAGTCACCAATAGGCGTAGGGATAGAAAAGGGATCAGAAAGGATTTCAAGATCAACATCAAATCTCATGGACACATTCAGAGTAATAAATGATAAGGTAGCCCCAGATCAAGCGATGCATACATATCAAAATGAAAAACTCTCAACATACCGGTCAAAATATCCAAGTCTGAAGAACATAAAACCTTTTCGGACGATGAGCGCCCGAACCAAAATCACTAGGCTGGTCTTTCCTACCATCTCTACCTAATAACGAGCAATGAACAATCTCTTACCTTGTGACCACTCTTCCCACAACCAAAGCAACCATCCGTACTGGTTAAGTATTTTCTCGAGTGACTTTTGCCACACTTTTGGCAAATGGGAATGGAAGATCCATTACCTCCCCCCCTTGAGGCTTAGGGTTAGACATCTTATCTTTGTTTAATTTAGAATCCGGAACATTAGAAGAACCTTGACCAAAAACTTTTGCTTGAATTGAGGATGACTGTGTCCACTGGACCTAAAATGAGAAAAGTCACCATCACCGGTCCTTGCCCTCTTTACTTCCTAGACTTCTCTTTTAGATTTTCCTCTTCAACTTGTTGGACATGTATAATCAAATGAGAGATATCCATTTCCTTAATCAACATTGCAGTACGACACTCCTTGATCACCATTTCAAAACCCCTGACACAAACTTACTCATCCTTGCCCTAGAGTAGGCAACCATAGTCGGAGTATTCTTAAATAATTGAGTAAAATTCAATATATACTCTTTCACACTCATATTCCCTTGATTAAGATTAATGAACTCAAGCACCTCTACCTCCCTAATCTCAAGAGAAAAGAAACGAAGAACAAAAGTCCCTTTGAATTTCTCCAAATCAAGAGGACCCACATCAATAGCCTTATCTTCCTTCCAATGGTTGAACCAAACTTGAGCAACACCTTTGAGTTGATAAGAGGTTAATTCTGCCTTTTTCACCATTGACACTCATGTAATTTCCACTATCTTATAATCTCATCAAAAAATTATTGAGGATCCTCATTAACTTTTGACCCATGATACTCCGGAGGATTCATGCTAGTTAAGTCCCGCACTCTTGTTGTCACCGTACCCACAATTGGGTTCACATGAGCTATAACCTCTCTATTATCTTAGGATGTCATAGCTTGAACCAACACTTGAAAAATGACTCGAAATTTTGCATGAGTCACTTGCTCGGTCAAAGGAACGTCCGACACTTGAGGAACCTCGAGCTCCGCATCATTAGCCATATTCTTCTTGTGTTAGCTCTTCTAGGAGACATATCCTGAAAAGCATTGGATAAGAGTTAGGATAAAGACCGTTATAGAGATAACTCTATTGCAAAATTTTATATATTAAAAGAAGTGCAGTTTTTTAAGCACCTTGCAGCCTCCTATTCATAAATGTGGTGCGCTTCACACACATGAACAAGACTTTACTCGACGCGGCTTGTTAGATATCTTAGGACCTTTTCTAAAACCTAATGCTCTAATACAAACTTTATCACGATTAAAAGTACACCCTAGACGTGACATGGAAAATAAGATCCCGAGAGGACCTAAATAAGTCACTTGACATAAGCATGACGTACATGAAATACAACAAGAGAAAGAATAGGCAATATAAGTCTCATATCATAAGACAAAAATCTAAACATAAGTAGGGAAAACTAAACTATGTCTGACATAGACTTTCTAACATCATAAGAGTGGTTCGAACGTAATTCGTACACCACGTACAAGTCTGAAAGTAAAAGATGATATAAGAAATACAACATAAATGGTTTTGTCCTCGATCCATGATAACTCACCAATACACATACTAATAGAGCAATTCAAGCATACCAAGAGAGAGAGGAAGAGCGTCAGGCCCTATATTTGAGATAATATAGGCATAAACAAGCATTAGTACGATGAATGTACTAAGTATGGGAAAATGAATGAAACATAAAGCATGATAGCAGGTGAATTTAAGCATGATATGTCAGACCAAGTAAAATGTTATAAAAGCCTTTATAAGGAAATCATAAATCATATACGAGGTCAATGCATACGTAAAACCATTTGAGAATCTTTCATAAATCCCTTGAAGATAACATACTTTGTGGGATATATACTGTTAACCGACAATAAAACCATTCGATTTACAACATGGAATCTGGTATGACCCTCACATCAAAAAAGAGAAATCTACTTACCAAGGTAAGACTCTATCACATTCATTCTTTGCTAAAGTGGATCCACTAGCTAAGGTCATTTAAGACAATCCTACAGAGGCACGTAGTTTGGGACAATGGGATTTCTTCTAGAGACCCGGCCTCTACTAATGGGAGAGCCTCCATCTCTGAGTCCTCTCGGTGCTTAGTAAATCCTAACAGAAAAGAAATAATCATAATAATATCAAAATACTTGGAAGACACAATCAAGACTATCAATCCAATCATAAGTCATAATAGAGTAGCTCCTTTCAAAATCATAATTTCATAAACTTGTTCATAAGATACTTCCTTTCTAAGTATTTAAATCATGATTTATTTCATATGTGATAAAACCTTTCACAAATCATTGACATTTTATCTTAAAAGGATTCTTTAGTAATAAATTATTCTTTTCATAAAACATGCATAAATCCTTAATCAAATTCATGATCATAGTTCATAAGTTCATAAGCATTGTTCATAATTCAAGTTCATAAAATAGGCATAGGCATGAGTCCACATAAAATCAATTGAATTTCATGTAATTGAATCAAATCATGCATAATAAGATTGAATATAAACAATTGAATCATAATAAATATGACCCATGAAGAATAGCATGAAACCCTAGATAATTGGATGAAATTGAATTGGAGATTTGAGTTTTTTTAGGAACCTAATGGATGAAGGGATCCATTGGTGAATTTCCATATACCTTGGGTAATCAATGCCCTAGCAATGGAGAAAAGAACCTTGAAGCATGATGAAACCCTAATCCTTGACTTGAGAGCTCTTGAGAGAAATTTAAAGAAAAAGACTAGAGGATTTTGGGAGAATTGAGTGAATGAAGGGATCAAATTAGACTTAGTTGTAAGAGTAAAACGGTTATAGGGTAGTTATAGAAAAAAAATACATAGTTTAGGGGTTAATTGGGTAGGAAAAGACCAAAACATCCTTAATAAAAATCTGCCGGACAGGTCTACGGTCTGTAAGAGATTCTACGGACCGTATTGGTCAACTGTAGAACAAATTATTAGAACCCAAAAGTCCAGCCAATTTCCACGAATCCATCCTACGGTCCGAAGACCTCTCCCGTAGACCTCAAGTTGAAGCCCAAAATTTCACTATGTCTAGATCACTTCTATGAGTACCTCCTACGACCCCAAGAATACTGTACGATCCATCCTGTCCATTCTTAGGTTAAATATCAGAGACTTATCATTTTCAAATCTCTAATCAAGTCCTACAACTTTCTTCCTACAGTTCATAGGTTGGACTCGTAGACCACAACCTCAGTGCCAAAAATGAAACTTTTCCCTTTCCAATTTCCGTGGTGTTACACCATCACAGTGATATCCTTTCCCTATAAACATATCACTCTTTGACACAATTACATGATCAGACTCAATTACAATCATAAACCTTTCTTAGAAAGTAAGCTAGCAGAAATCAAGTTCTTCATCATTTATAGATCATGGAACACAATCACAAGAGTCGGCTTCTGTCCAGATGTGAAATTGATCTCAATTGTTCTTTTTCCTAAAACTTCGGCCGGATTATGGTTGCCCATTAACACTTTTTCAGAATCTTTTACTTCTGAATAAGTCTTGAACATATTCTTGTCATGATAGACATGTATTGTTACACCAGAATCCAATCACCAATCTTGATATCTATAACTAGTCTATGTTAGAGCTGTTACTAATTGGGCTGATCTTGACATTTTTCCTCTTTGTTTTGTTGACGTAACTCCAAAGCAAATTGATCCTAGTTTGTTATATTCTCTTGTAGGATGTTTTTCCTTACCTTATCTTGTTGTATATCTTCTTCCCTGCTGTATCCTTGATGTTATTATCTATCTCTTGCTTGAGATTCTATTTGATCTATAACATATGTTTAAAGAGAAACTACAATAATTTTTTTTCTTTTTCCAACTAAGTTCCCAAACATGAATATCTTTTTATTTCAAAATTACAAACACCATAAAATATGGTATGTATGGAACATACATAGAGGAGATTTACAAAGATGCAAAATAAAGAAAACAAATATGTTGTGTACAAAATCTCGATAAAACAAAATTCAAAGATGAAGCAAACTGATGAAGAACAGTTGGACGAATATTGACCTTGCTTCCCATTCATGTTTGTAAATGCATCCTAAGCTGGTCGTGATTGAATTCATGTTTATGTCGTAAGAATATTGACATATTTTTGGAGGATCTGATCAACAAGAATTCTGTAACCTTTCTCTGTGGGATGGTAACTATCCCAAAATAAATATTTTGTGTTATCTTCACATGTTCCACTGTATTTGTTGCATAGAATCACTGTCTCTATCATTCCACTACCACAACATCCTTTATCTACTACTTCAAATCCTGAAATGCATTGACTATTCATTTTTTTTTTTTAAAATAAATTCAAAATCAGACAAACAAATTAAATTGAAAACAGTATATGCTTACTAACTTGAATATACAATTAAAAAAAATCTATGATTTGAAAGAAGATTGTATATGTGTTTACCATGTTTTTGAGGGTTGACAATGAGATCAAGCAGAGGATTGTAGATGTCAATCAAAACCAACACTGATTGAAGTAAATTTTTTGACAATGAAGCAATTGCAGCTGAGAGCTTAGTGTTGGCTAACTGTGCTGCTTGATTGTATTCCACAACGCACCCTCTACTGAAACCTCCAGCAAGTGTTCTTTGGGCTGGCAAAGAACCTATGGGTGGAACCCCAAAAACACCTATTTTTCTTGCTCCTAACTTGTATAATTCCTTCCAAGAAAAACAATTAAACAATCATTGATTGAAACCTAAACAACTAGATTAATAGTATGTTTGATCAAGTTTTTCGAAAGTAAAAAATGCTCTTTTTTTTCTCAAAAATAGAAAAGTAAGATAGTTGACCAAGCTTTTGAATGTAAATAAGTGGTTCTGAGAAATAACAGTTGTTTTTCAAAAGCTAAAAGAAAATACTCAATGTGTATCAATTTGTGTGACTCACTTTCTTTTTTTGTCAATCCTAAAAAATGACATATTTCTATATTTAGTAATTATTTAGCTTTAAAATGATCATTTTACCCCTATGAAATAATTTATAACAACACAAATATCTCTAACTTAATTTAGACCACTAGTTTAAAAATAGAAAATTATTTCTTTCTTAAACTTCAAGCCAAGCCAAGTCAAAACACATCACATAAATTGGGAAGGAGAAAATATTTTTTTTTCTCAAAATCAGTTTTAAGGAAAAATGCACTTTGAAAAAACTTGGTTATCAAACACTAATTATTACTTAAAAATACTTTAAAATTTATTAAGCAAACACAAATGAACTAGAAATTTGACCAACTATGTCATAAGTTGCATTAGAATATATGATGATATTTAGTGATGAAAATTCATACTTGGATCAGTGTAAGCATTAATATCATAATGCAGCCGACGAATTCCAATGGTGAAATAGGTGTTAGCGAGGTCATCGCTGCCTGCTACCACTAAGAACAAGCTATTCCTCAATATGTCATTTGTTCTTCTTCTCCTACTAATTCCTTAATCTTCACAATGCATTCTTTAAAATGATCTAATTGTGTTGATAGAGGTATGACTGACTGAAATTTGCACATGAATATCACTTCAGGTCGGAAAATGGAATAACTAATAGTAGTAGTTAAAGTGTGTTTTGATAAATAGTTGGTGATAGTTCAGAAAAGTGAAACACATTATAGTTCAGATAGAAAAAAAGGAATAACTAATACTCCCTCTGTCCTATTTTATGTGACACTTTTCGCTTTTTGAGAGTCAAACATTTTAAATTTGATCGAGAATTTGCATATGAATTTATAAACTACGTAAAAAGTACTATAAGTTACAATAATTGACAATTCAAAATATTTAAAAGATATATGAAAAATTTACGATAAAAAAATACTTGTTTGAATTTCGAAATTCGAAAAGTGTCACATAAATTGAAATGGAGGGAGTAATTGAGTTTCGGGATGGGGGAGCAAAGAGAGACTAGAAGAATAATTTATAAGGTGTGTTTTGATAAATAGTTGGCGATATAGTTCAAGTAAAAATAAAGAATAGATAATCCTTAAAATAGGAATTCACAAAAATATGGTATTTCAAATGTATTTTTAAACATTATCTAATTAATTGATCTAAAATATTAAACATTAAACAACATATATAAGTGTGAATAAAATACCGCAATACTAGAGGTTTGAGGATCAAATCCACAACCTCCTGATGCAAAGCTTACTCCTGTTTTCAGATCTTCAACTCGCAAATAGGGGTCAAGATAAGCTGACATTACTTCTTTAATCCCGAGTTCATTCACTGAAATAAATTATAAATGTTGGAAGAACAATATTTTCCATCAATAAAGCCAAATGATATTTATAGTACATTTATATTTTAATTTATTTTTCTGATTTTAACTTGATTTAAAATTTTAAAAAATAAATAAGATTTCAAATTTAATGATTTTAATTATCTACCGTTTTGTCATAGATTTCTGAATATTTTTGAAAAATCAAATTTTAATTGAAGTTCTAACATATATTTGACCAAAATTTTTAAATTATTTTTTGTGTGTGCTTAATGTGCAATTTTATTGTGATTATCATTTTAGAAATATCTGTGAACGTATATATACTTGGACGCCTTTTTAATGTTTGGCAAAATCTTGTGAGATAAAATCATTTTTTACCAAAGTAAATTTGGGTTGTTGATATTTAAATATGAAAAATGTCATAAAAGTTGCCAAAGAAAGCTATAGCGAATCTCAAATTGTTCACCCTCCTATTTAATTTCTTTTTTATTTTTGTTTTTCTTATTCGATATTAAGGTCGACTAAATTCAATTAATTCACTCCAAATATTTTAATATTAAGGGGTAAAACGCTCCTAATAAAGATGACTTCGTTTTCGCAAATCAAAATTTTGACTTTAATGGTCTGAAAATCAAAATTAAAATCCGAAGAATGACAAGAAAATAAGAAGACAGACCACTCCACCACTACCTTGATTTTTACCATTATCTTTTTCTTTCTTTGTTTGAGAATTTAGACATTATAATATAGGAATTCACGAGTGAATCACTTTGATCTAGGCATAAATATCTATTTTAACAAACAAATTAAACAAAATTTCCACCATGAAACTCAACTATTTGAGAATATCTTTTTTGATACAACAATATATCTAATATATCCAAATGTAATTTTATAAATAGGATATATAGAAGGTTTAGTATACACAGGTCATAGTCCTACCTTGAAATATAGAGACTAAAGAGGTTGTCTTCAATATATCAACTCAAAAAAAAAAAAGCATATCAAAACAAATACTAAAAAAAGCATGATAAACATTTTGAAAAAAATAAGAAATAATAACTGTAACAAAATAGTACGATAATTTAACTATACATACCTATCAAGTCAGAGGGAGTCTTGGCATTGGTAAACCTTCCAGTAGGTTTTCCACCCATGAAGTCCTTACCATATGGTTCAAAATTACATTTAATGAGTGTAGAAATATTATTATTATTTCCTTGATCAACGATCGAATCTCCAAAATAAAAACAGCCGTCACAGATCCATTCTCCACCTTTCCTTCACAGCCAACAAATAACAATATTAACAAAAACACCAAAAAAGAGGACAACATTTTAATTAATATTTGAGTAGTAATATTGGGGAGGGGGAGAGTTGTTTATTTATAGATAGATATATACGTTATTGACTAAATTAAGATCTTGTTCAATTGGTCTTTATTAGGTTTTTTAATTCTATATTAAGTTATATTAGGATATAGTAGTTATTAATTAATACATGTTAGAGAAAACTAATGGAGTTCATATGTCTTGGTAGAGGAAATAATCATGAAATACATGAGATAAAGGTCCTTGTCAACTAATAACGCACTTTTTGAGACCTTTTAAAGCTTTTGCCTTGTTTAGTCACGTTAGAAGGTGACAAAACTATAACTACATAAAAAGGTTTCTTCTTCTCCTTACCTACCATGACGTTTGGTGTATTTATACGTCCATGATTTAATTTGTTTAACTTTGTGTTTTATTTCGAGAGTAAATATGCTAAATAATCCTAACAAATATTCACTTTTGTGTTTGAGAACTAATTTATGTTATTATTCCGTATCAATAATAATAACTTTGCAGCACTTCGTAAGAAACAACAAGGTTTAAAACATATTTTCAATATCAGAAAGTTAAAATTAGTAAAGAAAATAAAATCTGTAATAAATCAAAAATTATATCGATAAGAAGAAAATTAAGTCCACTAAATTTTCACGCCCCAAACTCAAGTGGTGCAACTGGCACCTATTGTCAAAACTTGGGCCTGAGCCGATCCTGCTGAACCATTTGCTAATAGCAGATAGAAGCCACATGTAGTTAAGAAAACAAACGGGTATATCTCGGCTTAAAAATAAGTCCTTGACCGGCAAGGCCCCTGTCAATAACTCTATAAAGGATATAACTATTCCCACAGTTCATATAAAAAAAATAGTCAGCTAGCACATAAATCCTGTTTGGGCCGTCGAGGCCACCATGATATCTAGAAAAATGTAAAAGCTATATGAGCTCTCAAAGCCGTCATGATCTCTAGATACAGAAGCTAAGAAATACTATGTATCAAGACAATAAACCAAACCATCACTAAACTTCAGCCAACTAACAAATCAGGTCAACATGGACAATAACGTGGCTATATAACCCAACACACTAGTCTGCAAGCCTCTAAGAGTAGTAAAACTTGGTTGGGAAAGTCCCCGACCTACCAAAAAACTATATACAACAAAATCCAACAAACCTTTATACTCTGGCAACTCTGGAAGAAAGGGGCTAGCCAACCTACTGGAACTCACTTGTGTTGATGGGGAGGTCTATCAAGTCGTCTTTCGTTACCTGCAGGCATGAATGCAGCGCCCCCAGACAATGGGGCATCCGTACAAAATAATGTACCGAGTATGAAAGGCAACAGACTAAATGAACAAGTATCATAATATATCAAAAGTAATCATGTAAAGAAATAAAAAATAATATAAGCATACTAACCTACTACTAAATCTTAACATACAAAAATAATCAAACAACAACCTAATCAAGCCTCCATAAGTTCGGCATGTACAAATAATAAACAAGACCACCTACCTAGGCCCACATAAGCACAGGAGGTGTCAAATCAATCTGTATACCTCTATCGCTAGCCCCTTGTCTATGTAGGAAGTCACATAGCCCTCTTAGGCAATGATATAGCCCCATAAGTAGCGCATAGCCCTCTTAGGTAACAAAATAGCCCCATAGGCAGTTTACATCCCTCTTAGGCATCAACATAGCCCCGTAGGTAGTTTACATCCCTCTTAGGCATTAACATAGCCCGGTAGGCAGCACATAGTCCTCTTTGGCATCAATATAGCCCCGAAGGCAACACATAGCCCTCTTTGACATCAATATAATCCCGTAGGCAACACATAGCCCTCTTTGGAAACAACATAGTCCTCTTAGCCAACAACATAACCCCATAGGCAGTTCATATCTCTATAGCTAACTACACTAGCCCCAAGGGAAATAACAAACAATTCAATAGGCTAAAGGCGAGCAGTTTAGCTATAAATAATCTATACAAAGAGTCCCTAAGTCGTTCCCAACATAGGGCTGTTATTAATATATTACGAGTCCCGACAATGAAGGATTATAACCATTTAATCATCCAACAACTCACAATTATATCTATGAGTTCACCAATGATAACAATCCTATTATATCACTCACAAACTTTAAGAAAACATGCCGAACGAAGGGAATAGCCTTAACATACCTTTTTATTTAGAGTTTATGCTGAATAATACCTCTGCCTGCACCCCTAAAACACCAAAAAAGGAGAATAATCTCAATCAATAATTAAGGACAAGAATCACTACGACAATTTACAATTGATACAGATTCCTATCGTAAATTACTATCCAAGGCCTAAGGTATTTATAAACCGATAAAAGATGATTCTTAACTTTATATACACACCCAAAATACCTGAACAAACTCAAACCACAGATAAAACCCTGCTGCCACAACCTCCACGAAGCTACACCGCACAATTCACAATGAAAACTATACCAAAACGATGAGCTTGTGATGTAGATCAATTTTTGTTAAAGAACCAAGGAGAGATCATGAACATAAAAGTATGATTTGAGGAGTAATTATCTGTTTTTTTGGGTTTCTTACGAGCTGGAATGAGAAAAAATGAAGAAGATGCTATTTTATAAAGTTCCACCGACTTAGGAGCCCCACTAGCCATCTCTGATGTGCAGTCGGTACATAAAAGTGACTATCTCTCTATTCTGATGTTGCATGAAGGAACAATTTGATGCTTGGAAAACTAGACTCATAGACCTTCGATTTGATAGGTTATGGGTCCTCTAACTCTTTTTAGATTGGGAGAAAATCTCAGAGACATTTGTACTGAATTTCAGAGATATCTTTAAATAGGAACTTACGATAACTTTTGCTAACTTTTATTACTAAACTCGCTTAACTTCAAAAATTAAGATACGACCCTTGAGCACTTGAAATATGACATACCACATCATTACTAATTTATTATCACTCTTCGTCTTGCCACGAAAATGAAAATTAAGTTAGAGTTTCGAAAAGTCAGGGTGTTACATAAATGCACAATGTATCCTTAAGGAAATTACTCTTCTTAAGTACCTGAGGTTAATTGAATATATTCTTTCAGGATAAAATCATTTTACTCACCAATGTATTGGTACCAAAACTAGAATTTATTTGTACAGAAAAAGAAGTTCAAAAATTTGTACTTTGAAGTCTGAGGAATCAAAGAGATTTATAGCCATAAAAAGTACTGTTTATGAAAATTTGCAATCTTCTAGTACAATCATTTAAGAAACGATGAAAATTTAAATGAAATTCGGGAAACAAACTGAATCGGATCCGCACTGGGTCATGTAGATCCGATTGGGGTTGAATAATTTAATTTAATGATTAAATAATTAATAATTACTTAAATTATTAAATAACTAAAAAAAATGTCGAAGTCGAGCCGAACAATGACGACGACGTGAAGGGGTTTCTCTTTCCAACCCTTTTAACAACATGTAGTAGTGTTTCCTTATTTAAACACTTGAAATTTTCTTTCCACCACTAATGAGAGAGAAATGTTTTTCACTAAAGCATATTGGAACACTTTATATTCCTTCAATTTCATATTCCCTTAATTTTTCATTTATTCACTATACCTAACAATTCCGCACATGAATGGAGAATGCCTATAATATAAAGAAATGTACGAATGAGTGTGTAATTTATAGGCAAGGAATAATTGCATCTATATAAGTAATTTTTTCTTTGAACTTTTCATGGTGAAAATATGTCTGAGATACTCGGTCAATCGATAAATTTGATATCTTTGAATTTTCAAACTTTGGTTTATACCTAGACAACCATATATATCTCACACAACCAACCCTTTACTGTATGTGGTTCTTACTGTTGTGTTCATTTTAGCCATGAACACCTCTTAATATCATGAGTGTATAAAGAATTAGCTTTTACAATCATTCTCTTTCGCTTGCATTTCACACTCACATAGGTGATTTCTAACCGTGTTACTGCGTAGATACACTATTTGGTAAAATTTTCCAAACTTAAAAATCATTAAAAATTTTAAACTTTATTAACTCATTAAAAATCCTTAATGCTTTTTCTTTGTTTCTAAACATTGTCTTCATTATGAAAAGGGATTGAGTTATTTGCTAATGTCGAACTGTCAGTTACAATTTTGTTTGATCTCCTTAAACCTAAGTCTTGGAATCTCTAGTCTACTAGGTAGAGTTACCGACATTATGACTTGTCCTAAGTTTTAAAACTCATCTCCTTAGATGATCTTTCAACTACCTCTCTAGCTAGGCCTTTTATAAGTGGATCCGACATATTATCTCTATAGTTTACATAGTCAATAGTGATAATTCTACTAGAGAGTAATTATCTCATAGTATTATGTCTTCTTCATATATGACGAGATGTGTCATTGTACATAACACTCTCTGCCCTATCTATTGTTGTTTAAATATCACAATGTATGAATATAGATCCCAGAGGTTTGGGACAGAAAGGAATGTATACTAAAAAATTCTGAAGACATTCAACTTCTTCATCAGAGTTATCTAAAATAACAAATTTAGATTTCATTGTAGAGCAAGCAATATGTCTATTTGGATGATTTTCAAGATACTCTTATCCACCAATGATAAGTACAAATTCACTTGTGAATTTTACTTCATTTGATCCGGTAATCAATTTGCATCGCAATATCCTTCAATCACGGTGAGATTTTTATTATAATATAGAGCATAATTTTGGTGTATGTTTCAGATACTCCAGAATCCATTTTGTTGCCATCCAATGATTTTGGTTCGGATTATTAGTGAACCGACTCAATTTGATAATAGCACATGCTATATCTGATCGTGTACAATCATAATATATATCAAACTTTTTAACACTCTTGCAAAGTCCAACTGTGAATCACGTTCACCTTCATTCTTCTGAGGTAAAACTTACATCAATTGGAGTCTTGACAACATTAAAATTCAAATACTTGAATTTTTCAAGTACTCCTTCAATATAATTAGATTGTGATAATGCTAGACCTTGTGGAGTGTTATGATTTCTGATTCCTAAGATCAAATCAGCAACTCCTAAGTCATTCATATCAAAT